CCCCCCCCCCCCCCGTACAAGGAAACGTTTACCGCCTCCACAAGCGGAAACCCTCCTCGTCGACAATAGCACCAGAAGCCACACAAGCAGCAACAACCACGGACCGAGGCGGCGGCGGGGGAGCGCTTGACCCTCGAGGGGGACGCCTGCCCAACGTCCCCGCGGGAGGAAACGCCTCTTCTTCGCTCGGCCTCGGGATCTCGTACGTCTCCTTCCGCGTGAGGCCGGGAACCGCCGCGGGTATCGCGCGCTTCTACCGGGAACTCTTCGGCGCGGAAGCGGAGGAGATGGGCGGTGGTGGAAGTGGCGACGGCGACGGCAGCGGCGGCGGCCGCAGCAGCAGCAGCAGTGAAGACGTTTGTTCAGTAACGCAAGAAGTAGACTCGGGGAAGGAGTCACGTTGTTCGACGGTGAGGGACATCATGTATTTTTAGACGTTTTTATTCCCCTTATCCGTCTTGGCTTGTTTGTCGTTCATGTTTATGCGGCTGTCGCAGCTCGCTGCTGCTGCTATTACTACCGCTGGTGCTAGTGAGTTTGGTACTGCTGGTGCTGCTGCTGTTTTGGTACGCTCGGAACCTTGGTGCTCAACTGTCAGCCAGTGACTCTCTACATAGACACCACCAACCGCCACACACACATGATGCTGTCAGCATATTTCACTCGTTTCTGTCCCCTTTTCTAAAAGCGTAGATTGGACAGCGCATGGTATCATCGACAAGTCTTTACTGCTGTGCCATGGCCTGTCGTCGCTCTCAAGTGCCTCATGTTCATGCCGTAGCAGTCCTTCTCCTACCGTGCTTTTTGCCACGTTGGCTGGGCGGCAAAACGCGGTGTGCGAAACGACGTGATACCCCTTGCCCGGCAATTTCAATAGCGTTTTACGTGGCCTTGTAGGAAAACCACGACTACTGTACTATCCACGTTTTGTGTCCGTCGACGAAAGCGAGGGTGGGAGCGGGGGGGAGGACAATCGTGAGAGTCAGACCCGCAGTTTCGCGTGGACCAAATGCCAAGGCGGACCAAGCAATGTCCAATCGATCGCACTCATATGTTTCCGGCGAAGAACGTCGTGCTCCCTCCTGACTGGCTACCGAGCTCGGTGGGTGTAGTGCTGTACTTTGTTTCCCGGGGAACAGGAGCACCAGAAAGCGTCAACTTGTCCAGCCACATAACCCGAACGAGCCTACCGCCGTCTTTTAAGTTGGGTTCGTTTGTGTTGTCGGTTGTTTGGTTAAGGCCACAGAGGCGGACACGAGACGGGGCAAAACGGCGGTCGTAAGGGTGGGGCCGGTCCAACACCTGGCCTTCGTGGAGGAGGAGGACGAGGCCCTGCTGCAGCAAGAGTACGACGGTCACCACATCTGCGTCTACCTCCCTGAAGAAGGTGGAGCGGTACCCGATGGCCGGCGGAACCAGAAACGAATTGGGAAGGCCGCTAGCTACACTGGGGTGCAGGACCGAGGGAGAGGGGGGGGAGGGGAGCAGAGAAATGAGGCCGGTCCATCGCTCTTACCTCTCCTTGTGTCGCGGTGACATTTCCGCCTTCAGATCGTTTCGAGAAGATTGGAAACTTCCATTCCCGCCTTCAAATCAGTTCGACAAGGATGAAAATCTTGAAACTCTTCGACCTCGGAAGTTTTTCAACGCGGTGCCTCGTAGATTGCCAGTAATTCATCTCTCTCCCCCTTGATATTCACTCTCGGTGCAAAAAACGTATATACACTGAAAAACTTACGCCTTGAACGCACCATATGTTCAGGATTTCAACGCAGCTTTGAGGAGGCGGAACGGCGGGGGCTCGTGTTCGTCAACCCTCGCAGAAACTTCGGCAAAGCAGACACTCTCGAGAAGGCTCTCGAGGAAAAGCAGTACCGCATCAAGGACCTGGTGCGAAAAGTTGCCTTGTTTTACGAGTTAGGCACACATCACATGTAGATGTAGAACATAGGTAGAAAAGGACGGCAGTCAGGCGTTTGTTGCCGACGTCGGCCGCCGTTTCGGTTCATGGCGTTTATATGATGTTCGTGTTTCGGTACGCCAGAACCCGGTGGTGGTGATGCTGGAAGAAATAAGGGCCATCACCCAAGTGGTCTGATCCGTCCGCTTAAGACCACACGTCCCTCGAAGCTGTCGGTCTACCCCTATATGCGCACGGGACGTTTCTCGTTAACGACTGCATCGGATATTGGTATTTTTGGCACCGTACCGCGTTCATTGCCCCCTACATGCGTGCCCGGTTCTCTGTCCGTCTGTCCCACCTTGCTCGAACGAGAACGTCACAGCCACCCCAGACATAATCTTGAAATTTTCCTTTTTTTTCGTTGTTGGTTCCACCACCGCCGATACCGCCGGATCATGATTCCTCGTGGGGTGGGGTGGGCGATGGGGGATCGGCAGGTGGATCCGGCGACGGGAGAGCTTTTGCACGTGCTGGAGCACGAGGTTCGGAGCATCTCCCACCCATCCTATCCCGTAGCACGAGATTTGTCCGCCCTCACACCCATGTAGATTTTGTCACAGTGCAAATGGAGTATCGAATTTTATATTTTGTTCCCGAGCGACTAGAGAGTCTACACGTGAATAGTGTTTGACGAAGTGCGGAAGGAATAAGAGTGGGCGGGGGGTGGTAGCGGAGGTGGTAGGTTCGGAGCAGCGATTTTCTCGTGTTGTTTTCGTTTTGGCAGCCTGGGCTATTGTTTTTCCTTCCAGCTTCCAGTTGCCGACCAACCCCTTCCTGGTTTGATTGATTGATTGGTTTGTTTCTTTCAGGTACCGAGCTCTTGACATTGGTAACAACCACGAGTTGCCTACCCTGCTTTGCAATTCGTCGTTTTGTTGTTGGCGCAGCCTGACCTGCCCGATCTATCCTCCCTCGAGAGTCGCCTTTCGAATTTCTTGTGCCCCTTCTCCACACGTCTATGTCCGTTTTTCGTTCTTGAGATAGCGTTACAGTGCAGCCGCCCGTCGGGCGAGTGCCGTAGATATTCCGTTCGACTCGCATGTGCAACAACATTGCACATGATCTATGTTCTACTTGGGCGTTTTGTGATGGTGTTTGTTGTCGTGTTACCGTGGGTGCGGAAGAGTGCGGTGGGTGGCGTGTACCTGTTTTACCCACCGTTTTTCGTCGCCCTTGCTACAAACCTCGTGGCTACGTGATTTTCTTTTCTTGCTGGGCTTCGTAGATCTGGTAGATGTTGTTGGTTCGCGTGGAATAGGTTTGTTGTGCGGAAGATAGTCTTTCTCTCTCGCCATCTGTTTCTTGTATCTACCCGCTCTGGGAACGCTGTGCTGAGAAGCATGGCTTGCTGCTCTGCAGCATGCCTTCTGAAGGCTGCCACAGTCGAACGTCCTGCGTCAATTAACACATTAGTGGCCAGGAGACAATTCGTCCACTACACGAAGAGTAACGACATCGCCCTGAACCTACATTCCATACATTCCCGAGCACATTGTATTACAGTTACGACTGACTGATTGCCCTGCCCTACAGGACTAAGCTCCGTAAGGCTTCGAGCCGCGCTTGCTACTGTTACGATCACCGCCGCTACCGCCGCTCCCTCTTATGAGTGTCTCCGGAACAAACCCAGCGGCGCCCACTGCTTGGACAGGAGGCACGGTAACCGCGATGACGTTTCGCCTATGGTGCTCCAACGTGGATGCGAAGCCTTCGTGGTTGTCTCCCGCGCCCGCGGCAGGTGTTCGCTCATCGGCCGCTGCTGCCGCCGCCGCCGCCGCCGCCGCCGCCGCCGCACCACCGCCACCTTCACCGCTGGCACGCAAGTGCTCTCCTCCTGTTCCTCGCCCCGCCCCCGTCCTTCCTCTCCCTTCCTCTCCCCCTCGTCCTTTTGTCCTTCCTTTGCAAATCCTGTTGCCCACTACCCCGCGCGCATGGGCTCCATCGACGCTAGTGGGGGTGTCCAAACCGCCGACCCCTCGGACCCCGCCCCCCAGGCCAGAAAAAAGCTGCCGAACGAGCGGGGCTTGGGTCATGCCACCGTACCGGATGTGATCCGGGGCCGGGCTGGGCTCGTGAGCGGACACCCTCTCCGCACGGCAGGCCTCGGACTCCACGGCCTGCAACATCGTTGTTTGAACGACAGACAGAACTCCGAATTGACAATACCCTGGTGGTGGCGCCTGGAATAAGAACATGCCCGTGTTCGAAACCATGGAACACTGCGTTGGTCGGTTATCAGGTTGGTGCGAATGGCACATAACTTCCGCACTACAACTGCTGATGGCGTCGATACCGCTTTTGCTCGTATCCACATTGCCTGAACTTCGACGGTTTGCGCCAGGCTGCGGCCTATGGCGAACATCGCCAACAAGTTCGTGGTGCGACTTGAACAACGTTATGTCGAAAACATCCTTGCTTGGTTTGGGTACGCTCATGTCTACCTAACTGGGATTGCTCTACATGTAGCTATTTGTGCGCCGGTGTTATTGACCTCTGATACAAACGGAGGGGTGCGATCTTCACAAAAAAACGGCGCGCACTAGTTATCAAGATCGACTGGCAACACGGATAGCAGGCCGAGCCGGTGGCGCCTTCTGCCGTACCCATGCGGAAGGGAAGTGTTTACCGCACTCCCTGGCTGAGCGGAGAATCGCCTAACCTTTCGAGCACCGTCTGAGAGCAGGCCGTACGTTGCACTCAGCGCCACCGGAGGGAATAACGGAGACTGCCGAGTCGTCGGTTGGGGACCACCCGTCGCCGGTGGGAGTAGACGGCTGCTGCTGTTGGCGTGAGCGCCCACTCCCCGCGCCGTCCTCGAGCGCGCCCCTCCACTGCCCGGCCGAAAGCCGGCGGCTACCACGTTGGTCCCGCCACCACCCACCAGGCGCTGCGGTGCCGCTGAGCTTGGGCGGTTGTTACCGAAGGGTCGCGATTCGAGCGTGCTCGATCTTGTTTGATTCAGGACAGTTCGGGGTTCGGGGTATAGGGTACAGGAGCGAGATTAGGGAATAAGGGGCGGGGAGGATGGGATACAAGAGGCAGGAAAGGGTGGGAAAGAGAAGATTTGAAACGTTTTAAGAGGGAAGATTCATTGGTGGCATCGGACTACTTCATTCAAGGGTGTTTCGTGGACGAGTCATGGTAGACACTTCCTACCGTCCGGTCGTAAATCGTTGTTCTGAAGCGGAAAAAAACAGAAAAAAGGGGGCTGCTCAATTGCTAGCACAGTTGCATCTGACGGATGGTTTGGGAAATCGGAAGTAACGAATTCGGATTGGCGTTGAGAATAATCCATGAAACTGCAACACGCAACGAAGTGTTTGTGCAGCGCCACAGCCCTCGCCGTCACCAAAGTGTAGTCAAACCTAGCGGAGGGGGCCGACCCGGGGCGCTTGTTGGTCTGCTCACGCCGACTACCGGGAGACCGAGATCCGCTTCTATCCGCCACCATCTCTCTCGGCCCGTCCCCTGTCGGATGCCCTTCTCCTTCGAGGCCACGACCTCCGGGTGCTCCTGCTGCTGCCATTCGTTGCTGTTGCTGCTGCGCGCGCATTGCCGCGTCTTCGGCGCTCTCCAGCACTTCTGGCAGCTGCTTGTGGAAGAGATAGACATGGAGCGTGTCAACGACAGAAATTTCGTGGGCAAACACCTACGAGACGGTCGATTGGCCGATGATGACATGCCGATTTCTTGTCGCTGTGGTTAACATCGAATAGTGTCCGTTTCGAATACAGGCCCACATTTGCCGAGAGGTTGTCTGTGTGTCAAGAGTTTTGTCACGAGAAAGAAGCCCAAACTTGTCTCGTTGGTATAGCCAGCCGAGAGAGGTGCAGATAGCCAACACCAAAGTCTCCGCACGATTCCCTCTTGACCGGAGGTTGTTTTGGCCGGATTAATGGACTCAAAACGTTTGCGGAGAACTGTACTAGTGAGGACGCCCACTCCCAAGAGGGGCAACTTAATCCGTGTAAAGCCTCGCAGCCGCGTGGTGTATCGTCGAGTACGGTCATGGAAGAGGCTAAAAGAATAACCTAGTCTAGATCTTGTGTAGTCTACCCACCTGCTGCGCCAGCTCCAGCTCCTTGAAACTGAGCTTGTTGAAGGCGCGGTCGCAGCTGAGACACTTCTTGGCCATCGACGGCTCATCAGACTCCTCCTGGAGAAGAGCGGATACCCTCGACACCAGCAGCGCCATCTTTCGCTTGGTATAGGCTTTGTCGGCTTTCCGGGCCAACGCCTCCTGAGGAGATCAAAATTGCAGTATTTTTCGTGTCGGTTTTCATTTCGGCACCTCAGTTTCATTTTCATGTGCATCTTTGCTTGAAACTTACATCGTTAGGTATGTGTGATAACGGACAACAAAAACAAATAGACGCTTTGCGTAAAAGAATGTCTTCTTGGTACAATCGGTTTTTATTCCATTCTTTTAACAAGGGGCCAGCTGTTCGTGTGGAAAATTGCGTCTTCAAAGACGTAGTCTAGGTCCCTAGCGGTCATCAAGCGTGGCAGAGGAGCACCTAGCGTGAAGAATCTTGCAGACCCTTTTTTTCCCAGTTTTCGTCTAGACAATCTTATCTCAAAGTTGTCTTCTTCTCCGCTCTATCCGGGCATCATACCCGTTGAAGTTAGTTTTCTTGAACGTCGGGCATTAACATAGCAGTGCTGGAGCACGAAACCGTGCAGTTGATTGCGTACAAGATCACTAGAACGCACAAACGACCGAATGTCTATAATACATTATTGGCGGACTCTGTGAAGTGCTCTATATTTCGCTCGGAGTTCTTACAAGGTGTTCTCGCTGGGGACGGGCCACCAAGCGACCGCCCGTTAGGTTGGTTCATTGGTTGGTGCGCTTCTCGCGTGGGGTTTTCCACGATTTCGATGTCTCCGCCGGATTCTAACTGCCCATCCACTGCTTCAAGCAGGTCTGCATTCTTTGGATACAGCTACAATCATGGCGGTAGATGCATACGTTATTTCCCACCTGGAGTTCTTGTAGGGCTTTTTCGCCGGGAATGGACTGTCGAACTACGGTGAGAGTCTCCTCGACGTCGCCCATGGCCCTCGTGATGGAAGCCAGGTCCTCCTGCCCGGCCTTGCCGTCAAGGAGGGACTTCAGATGTCCCAACTGACGGTTGTTTTCAGGCCAAAGGGGGGAGACTAAGTATTTCTAGAATAACACTAACGTTTGCGGATTTAGTTAGTAGTAGGCAGTAGCCCCGTGCATCCTTACTATAACAAGCCGAGAGAGACGGAGAAGAGCATACACGTCGACACTTTGCAAAGAAGAGGGCCGTGGACTTATTTTGGGCCCCTTGCTGTACAGCGCTAAGGCCACCATGCCCAGGGTAGTACTGGGAGCAGCAAGTGAAAACTAAGTTGCAGGCGCTGCTTTGCATCAGAAAACGAGAGAGGTCAGTTTGGATGCGTCGACCATGCGTCTACTAGCTGGTTCATTGTTGGGGTTTCAACCCCTTTGTAGAGTAATGCGTTTGATGTAGGAACCATGTGAACTTACAGAGCAACTTTACTACTTGTAGGCACTGGTCAGCATGAACGACATGTCTACACAATACGTGAGTCATCCGAAAGACGAATGTTGGCTGGACGAAGTCCAGCCCCGAGCAAAAATTCCACGCGCACCCGCTTGTGGTACAGACGTACGTAAGCATCGCATGCCAGCAAGGAAGCCACATGATGTATATCTTGGCGAGTGCCGTGCTGCGCGAGTCGGCCAGATGCACTGATCGAGAGGATACGTATGTACGGATGCACACGAGGCTGTGGTTTTCCTTGCCTGTGTCTCCAAGAGCTGGCCCACGCGCTCTCTCTCCGCCCTGGCGCGCTCGTAGTTGTCCCGCTCCAGCCTGTCCCTCTCTGCCCGCATTGCCTTCGCAAGCTGCTCGTGGAACTGTTGCCGGACACCCCCAAGTCGGAGTATTTTCGCATTTTGTTTTCAACCCCAACAGGAAGGGCGGGGAGAGGGCGGCGTACCGCGTCAGTAAGGATGGGACGTCGTCGGGAGAAGGCAGAACGCAACTGAAACCCAAAGAAAACAAGGAAAACAGAACCACCCCCTCAGAGGGTCCACACAACAAGAACAGTCGAGCCGCAGGGATCATGAAAGACACAACGGAAGAAGTGCAGCCGAGGAAGCGGTGTGTATTTGTAAGTGATGGAAGAAATGGATCGACATTGAAGGTGGGTATCTCCGCAGCATAAAATGTTCCTGCGACGCCAGGAGCGGCGTCGGAAAGGCTTTTTTCCAGAGACGCACCATCGTTTGTTATTCGTCGACCCCTTCGTCTACCAAGCTTACGGGGGAAAAGGTATCTAGCGCAGACTACGCGGTGTATCGTAGGCCTGGAGCCACGAACACAGGTGTTGTGCTTTGTTCCCGCTTGGGCCTTACTACTTTGTTTGTCGGCAACATACCAAAATATAACGCTACGTGAGACATTAGTTGACATTCATACGCCCGGCAATGTTACTTCCGCCCTGTGCACATGTGACCAAATCAAGCGATCACGGAACCTACTTTCTCGGGGGGGGGTCAACTGCCATTCGCCCAGGCACGGTGCCGGTGTGTATCAATTGGGTCGATACGGTAGGCTGGGATACCGGGTACAGAGCAAAAGCCGCCACACCACTACCACCAGCAACAACGAACGTTCACCTCCGTGAACAGCAAGCTTCCCTCATGGCGAGCAACAAGCTTACCTCCACGAGCAGCAAGCTGCCCTCGTTGCGAGCCGAGGCGGCGGCCGCCGCCGCCCTGGCGGTGGCGTCGAGCGCCTCCGCCGAGGCCTCCCTTGCTCCCGCGCGCGCCGCCGCCGCCGCCGCGACCGACTCCCTCGCCGCCAGCTCGGCCGCTAGCACGTCCCGCTTCAGCTCCTTCGTCAGCGAAGATACCGCCCGGTGAGCCGCGCGGGATCTCGCCGACGCTAGAAACGACGACAGGTGGCCCAGGGAAAGGACGAAGCACTGTCGTGGGGAGGAGGGGTAGGCCAGCGGAGGGTGTACAATTGTTACCGTTGCGTATGTTGCCGCAGCCTTTTGAGGTGGACGGCGGGGGGTGTACACTGCTATTTGTTGCTCGCAAACGCAATTCTTACGATCATTGCAAGCACGTTTACGATATCCCGTGCTGATCTCAGGAAAGGGCTTCCGTCGTAACGTAACAAGGTTTCAGCAGCTCAGCTACACCAAGGCACGCACTCTCCTTGCTCGCGACGTGACGCACATCCGCTTGCCTGGTAAAGTGTCGACCGCACCCGGAATCCTGACGCCTTTTCCCAAGCTCCTTCCCCTGCTACTACGAAAAACCCTTCGCCCGATGGACGTACCCCCCCGTATTGTGCCGTCAGTGGCACGGACATGAACGTTGGCATATGCCTCAACATCGGTGGTGGTCTTTGGTGCTGCCCTTTTCCAGCCCGGTCCCCCGTCCCTGCGTCACTTTCACCGCCGGCAGCACCACTGTGCGTATGTTCCTCCGCGGCGCCCCTGTCATTGGCTTGCGCCTGGCCTTGTTGTTGCCATTGAGGTTGCTGTCTTGGCTCAAATCTCTGGTCTCTGTCCCTACCATTGTCACCACCACTTCCCCTGCCGACGTGTGTGTCGCCGTTTTTGCCTCCGGCGGAGGCGGGCGCGGCGGTGGGCACGACCGGGATAGGAGCAGCGGTACCGGCGGTGTCGAATTCTCTCCCGCACAGGCACTTGCGCCCGGGGGTGAAGGCAAACGCATCGAGGACGCGGCAGTACGCCGGACGGGAAAGGAGGTACTGCAGGTCTCCCGCCAGCGCGCAGGAGAGACGTAGGACCTGCTCTCCCGATGCCGAGAGTCCAAGCAGTTTGCGTAATATTGTGTCGTTTGTATAAACGAGTGGACAGCATCAAGAGTGAACCCCCATGCTGTTGGGTAAACCTGATGACGTAAATTCATGATTTGTCTGGCTACGTTCAACAAAGTGGAGTAGCCCCGAAGCTGTTTACAAATATCAAACCATTGGTTGCGACGACATTGCCGTCCGTTTCCCCACTCGCGAACTAAAGAACGCTTCGTTTGAGTCCTGCAGTTGAGGTACCTAGAAAACCGTCGGTCATGGCGTGAACAGGAGAGGTAACTTTGTAGAAATTTCGGGAGGAGATTGGGGTGGAAGGGCACATTCTCGCCCAATACTGTTGGTGTTGAAGCACCAATGTAGTCGGGCTCGCTGTCGAAAACCATGATGAATGTATCGGTAGCCGCTACTTTGTCGTCTTCGGGTAGACTTTTCGGAGCGTCACCAGCCATCGTTAAGACGGACCTCGCTCGCGATTGCCCCCGCTGCAGCCTCTGGGGTCGGCCGTTGTGCGTCACGGTTAACGTCACCTCGCTCCTCTGATTGCTGCGTATCGAGAAGGGTGTTGACAAGTTGTCGAGCGGGTGACGAGAGATGGCACGATTTCGTGAACAAAAGCGTGGTGGGGGAAATGTTGGCAGCACCGTGGTAGTGGAATGTATGATAGCAGCAAACCTGTGTCTTGTTGCGACTTCGTCGTTAGGCTGCACAGCCATACGTAGAGGAAGGCATGGTAGGGAGCTGCGCAGTGAGGTTGTATCAATGTGCAGAGAAGGGTACACGCCCCGTCGTCGCCCCCCCCCGCCCCAACTTCCTGGAGGGTAGCTTCAGCATGACTAGCCACAAACTCTGGAAGAAAACGTTTCTTGATTGCCTGATATCCGCCAGAAGGCAAAACGCTGCTGTCTGTACATAGGTGCGAGGTGAAGTAGTGAGATTGATTGTGAATGCCCCGAGAAGAGATAGAGCACTCGCGAGAGGGCGCCTTTTGACACCTCTTTCAAGAATCACATCAGGCATGTACCTTGCATGCATTAACCAGTTATCTGTGGTTGAGAATACGTTGCGATCGGAAGAAGGGTGAAATAGTGAAAAAAAATGGTGCCCGGGAGTCTAGGAAAAAGAGAGACAAAATGAGCAACCTAGGACACGCGAACTATATTAATTCACCCTCAGAACGCTTATGCCAGCGCATGTAAGTGCCTCCTGACAGTCAAGGTTCAACCCGCCCTATGCGCTTTCTCCTTGACCGAATATAGGGTAAGGCTAGGGTAGCGCGATCGCACCTCTTCTGCAGCAAACACCACGCTTGGCCTTCGTCTGGTTCCATCCTGCACCCATGCTTCTGCTCGATCTTCCTTGCCTCGTTTATCCAGCTGCTGTTGTTGCGCCACTCCTAACCGTGCGACCAGAGCACCTAGCCTAGCGCAGCGGTCCTGCATCCGCCCGATTTCCTTCTTCAGGGTCGTTGCGCTTCCTCGTTTGCTCTCTTCTTGTTGGTGCCCATCTTGTTCCGTGGGCACCGAAGACGATTTGCTTGTCGTCGAGGCGGCGGCGGCTGCGGCAGCAGTGGAAGCTGCCAAGTCCACCGCAGCTCGCGATGCCGACGCGCGGGCGCTCGTGGTACTCCCCCCTCCGCCGGTAATGCCGCCGCCGCTGCTGGTGGTGCCGCGGCAGGCGGCCAGCGACTGTGACCTGCCTTTCTCGACATGGCTAGCGGCAGCGTTTCCCGAAAACATGTAAAAATATAATCGAGCGCATATGTGATTGGTTAAGTCAAAGGCATCGGGAGCACAGGGTAGGGGAAAGCACGCGCAGACTCGATTCTGACGGTGCGTTGTGTAACGGAAATGTAGTCGAGGACAGCTGAAATTCACCTGGAGAAGTGTGATACGGCACCCTGGGTAGTAGCAGCAATGACTTCTGGTGTATCCGAAAAAAGAAATATGGGCACCACCTGGCAGCAAACGCTAGGCCCTCCGCGAGCTCCTCCAGCGTCCTCTCGAGCAAAAGGTCTACGCAGAGGTAGCCCGCATCTTCTGCCAGCCACAGTCGACCCACGTCTCCTCCCCCTCCGCCCCCCCAAACTGTGCTGCCGCTCCCGCCGCCGTCACCCCCGCCACTGCTATCACCGCTATCTCCGTCAGAAGTCCCCATCGAAATGGACGACCAGGACCTTCTTGTCTCGCGGCTGCCTCTCCTCCCATCATGGGCATCGCCACTTGGGCGTCTAGTACTTCTTGGCTGTTTGGGCATAATCGCCGCCGCGGAGATCATGGACAGGTCTCCCTCACGCGCCGGGAACAAGCAGAGCGGTGCTGAAAGATTGTCGCTGTGCCAAGACGTGCCATCAGAGCCGTCGGGGTAAGAGTAGGGTGGGTGGGTGCGCGCGTGGACGTGGTTTGCGTAGGGCACGAGGAACGGCTTGCACGTTGGGAACAGGTCGGGAACAGGGAAGCGACCAAATCAGCGGTGGATGCAAATGAGGATAGAACATACTTGGAATGTATGTTGTTGAATGGTTACACACAGCAAGATTCTGGTCACCCTGCGACATCAGAGGCCCAAAATACTGATAATAGAAAAATAGCGGTGAAACATCAAGAATCGGGTCGGGTTGTAGCTGCGAAAGCGCCCCTGCCACCACCCGCTTAACTAGATCGTACTGCTACATAAGTCTCCCCGGCGTGTTATGTAGGCTAGACGAAAGCATGTCTTACCTCGCTGCCCGTACTTGGTACTCGACGATCATGGCCAGCGAAAGACGCACGTCGCGAGCCAAGGTGTCCAGACGACCGGATCCCGTGGTGTACACGTTGACCCCCAGGGCCTGCACATGAGTACCGGACATAGCGTCCGCAGGTGCACTCGGATGTGAAGAAAAAAAGTAAGGCTTAGTGTGACGCTCCTCTTGCAAAGGGTACAAGCACAGTTCTCGTAGCATCGCGGGCAACGGTAGCCTCGCGGGCTACGGATGTTATGTTCCTCTCTCCCTTCTCTCTTCACTCTCGCAATAGTCGAAATTCCCGTTCACCGACCCCCCGTCCTCCGCACAACCACTCAGGCCGTTTACTTTGCTCCACGCACCTGTTCGAGGCGCTCCACCCTGGTGACGATGGTCTCGGATTTGCAGACTTTTCTCTCCGCCATAATCTAACAAGTTGGTTGATCCAGTTGTTGCGGCTTTTCAGATATTCGGGGTTTCGTTCTTCGTGTCAGTTATCGGTAGATTTCGACCGAATTCGCAGGTGAACACCCCCGATAACCGGTATACGCTCGTGTATAGCAAGAAAATCCACACAAGCTCTTACTTGCGAGCAATAGCTGTAGCTGTTTCTTCACGCACGTTGCATCTCTTCAAGCAACTCCGGTTTGCAACCTTGGTTCGAGGACAATCTGATCCGGATTTAGTCTCACCCTTGGAGTCTATTGTACGTGTTGTGTGGACAGAGACACATGTTGGACGGTCGTGTAGCAGGTTTTCTGTAGAACTTTCAAGTAGACCGGAGCGCTCCACACGAAACGTTGAGTTCGAATGGGCAAGAATGCCTTCCAGGGGTCTATGTTCGTTCTCGTGTGGCACACACCTGTCGCCTGATCTTCTTGACGAGGAAAGCACGATGAAGTCGGACTTGGGCCCAGTGGTTCCTCGCCCTACGTTTTTTCAGTATTATTCTCGAACTCTCGCCTTCTTCTTCTTCTTGTCCGTGCTGCTGCGGTTCCCCTCCTTGATCTCCCGACGCCCCTCGTTCATCATACGTCTGGCTGTCACTGGTGGTGTTCTCCTCGTCATCGACGTCGGCGATGTCGTAAGGCACCTGTTCAGCATCAGTCCCACGTTTTCCAGCACTATCATCGTCATTACTACTGCTTTGAAGCAGCGCTCCTTCTCCCTCCCTACCTCCTTCTTCTCCAGGGGCGGTTTCCGTGCTCGCGCCCTCGGATTCTCCTAGCACGTTGGCAGCCATGATTTCTACCTTCCGTCTCAGAGCGTGCAGCTCTTGGCGCATCGCTGCCATCGTTTCTTCGTGGTCCACGCCGTTGCCGTGGCCGCTTGTCGCTACCACCGCCGGCGTCGCTACTAGTCCTACTGCGGCGTCATTGGCTGGCGCTGCGACAGAAGTGATCGGAACCGCGTCATCCTCGGGTACTTGTGCTTCGGCTAGAGTGTCAACGCGCGATTGCAGGAGGCACAGGTCTTCCCGCATGTTGTCATTCAACGTCGAGAGGTGGTTCTGGCGATCCCGGCACTCATGCTGCAGCTCCAAGAGCTTCTCTTCTGTTTTCTTCTGCTCCTGTGGCACGGTTCCGGTACAAGGCAAATTGTAGGTCCCAAAGGTAGCCGCAACCGATATAATTCGCTTCGAAACAGGTCTCTCTGAAGCTGCAGGGGGGCGACATGTACAAGACGAGGTTTACGCTTACACGCTACGTATGTTGTACGCCATCGAACGCGCTATGCGCTTGCAGTTCAGGCCAGAGCTACTGTACATGTAGCGCTGTCGTAACACACACTTCGTACATATTGTAGTCAAAATGTCTACCTTGTAGCCAACCAACAATCTCAAGGGAGCGTGTGTGTTTTTTTCAAACACATGCATTGTAGCAGCCTACATAGAAAAAACACTCTTGACAGTAGTTCTTGTCCCACCGGTTACAGCGACAACTGCTTACCTCTCGTGCCTGCTGCCAGCAGTCTTCTAGGTCCAGCAATCGCTCGCACATGAGGTGGAGAGCTGATTCCAATCCTCTGTGACCGTGCTGCGCCGCTTGTACTTGGCTCTGCAGTTGTGCCTTCAAGTGTTCCCGCCGGTTTCCGACGCTGCTACAGCTATTATCGCTGTTATCGCTGATCCTGCACGGCATCGATTCGACCACTGCAAAAGTAGTACAAGTTGATGGCTGTGAAGCAACTACACCCTCAAGATGGTCGTTGATTTTTTTGTCCATCCTGCTTGCCCTGCTTGCCCTGCTTGCCCACACGATCCGTGTACAACACGATCCGTAATTTGGATCGTATCGATCAACCACCTGAAAATTCAAGATCCGAAATTTTTCATGAGCAGGAGTTCGTGCACACACCCTTCGTGTTTACACGGCAGCATTAGTCACGGAACTGGTCTCACGGGTGTATTTCGATCATCTCCGTAACGTAACCCTTCTACGATAGCTTTTTTCATCTCCACTGCCGCGCATCGGCCACCCACTGGCCCGTCTGCCGTGCAACGCTCCAAAACGCTCAGTTGGGGGGGGACGCGGTCCGAAATTGTAGCGGGGAGACGGGGGGGTCTCTATATTTGGTCTTCCGCCGGTCCAAGTCAAGTGTCTGCTGTGTCTCGGGCCCGTCTGCCTCTCTCCATCAACCGGCGGTGGTGAAGGTAAGCCGTGACGTGAAGGCCCATTCGTTGCCCATGGTGGAACTTTTCTTCGGAGGTAGTCTTCTCTACTTAGTGAGCGCAGCACACGTGCTTCTGGGAAGCTTTGTAGCTCAATTTTTAGACTCTGAACATGCGACACCCGGAGCCTGGAGCGGGTTTGTGTTCCTCCGCACCAAGAACTTGCGGGCACCGCTGGCTGTCGTTCAACTACTGCTGTGCGAACTCCATAGTAGCAGCAAGCGTCCTGTGCCCTCCTCTTCTCGATGCTGAACGTGTGCCGCGAAATATGTTGTATCCGCAGCACTGAGCAGCTGTTTGGGGTGCTTAGGCGTGCAGCGGGCGCAAGTCTAATTATTTGCTGCCCGAGTTCCTCATCTTTGATTTTGATTCCCCCCCACAACCCAAGGTTTGTGTTGCTACATCTGCTCTGCTGCTCTCCTACACGCGCAGAAGCCAACTGCTGTGTGTTGCCGTTTTGAAGCATAAATGTAGGCCATTGTGCATGCCTCTAACGTGCAGTCTAGGATACGGTAGTCTTGGAGAGAGCGCTTTCAAGTATCATTCGAGCCGAAATCCCTCTTGCAGCGGGCATTCTCTCCTTTTCAAAGTACACCGAAGCAAACACTGCGGTATGGTCCATGCACAACAATATATTCAACGTTCACCACAGCACCAAGGTACACTTCCTTGGGGGAGGAGCCAACTGTCAATTGCCGTTTGTCAGAAATCTAAAAGTACCAATGCATGTAACGCACTGTCTCCAGGCGCAACTTTCGTCGTGTTTATTTTCATCTTGTCATGACGCAACTGATCCATCTCTAACGAAGAAGAGATTCTTTTTGACTTTTGTACGAGAAAAGTGCAAATTCTTGCATCAATTCGTTGAGGCGGATGCACTTCACCACATACGAATATCTCAACGGATTTGTGCAGCTCTCGCAATTTTGCGGCCAGCAACCGGTTCCCTTGTTCCGATTTCGGATTTGCGGCCAGCAACCGGTTCCCTTGTTCCGATTTCGGATTTTCTAACATATTCTGCGAGATAGTGACCATCTGACCGTCACTTGCATCTGGAAGGTTATATTGCATCGATTCGTTCGGGACATCTAACAGTAGGATTTCTAAAACGATTGTGGCAAATGATTCCTCTTGTCAATCGCCCGGCGGGTGCTCTTTTTTCTCGGACAACAACTAAGTTCGTGAGAAATGCGAATTTAATTTTGGCGCCAAATAAATGCGGAAAGTGATGGGATGCGGGGAAATCGCGGAGGGGGCTCGGGGGCTACGTTGCGATCAATGGGGGCGCCGCCGTGAGATACTGTAGGGGTCTCCGTGGATCATGATTTGTCCAACAATCACGCATTCTCCGAACAACAGAAACTCTGCAGGTATCAACGTAAGTCGACGACGAGGCGATCACGAATATGTCAATGTTCACCTTTCGATCTATTTCTTTGAAAGTTGTGCAAAACGTGCATGGTTGGTCATGGACTGTGAGTCTCGTGAATCATTTCAGGAGGGAAGGTACAGTAGTGTGCTCGTGGCGGCGGCGGGAGGTACGCATACGTGAATTTATTGAGGAAAAATTGCGACCCCTCTTGATCCAAGCGCCCGCGGAGAGAAACGACGGCTAAGAATCTTGACGATGCTACAAACCCCTTACCTCACGATACGCAGTAATATCATGTACCTCGTTGAACGACCCGTCTGGAAATCGCTGCGCATGCTGTCGCTGCAGCTATCCAACACCTAAGGACCAAGAGCGACCGCGAGAGCAGCTACTCGCATCCAGTTGAGAGGAGAGACATGGACTCGCTTCGCCACCTACTCAAGAAAAAAGTGGACTTCGTGTCCTCGCCCGAACACGACGGCAACCCCCCCACGGACGAGCAGCTGGCGTCGTTCCTGAGGAACCTGACCACGGAGACCGGGCTCGCCCTCCGTGGAACTCCGCCGGGGGTAAGGACATCGGGCTTTACCGGGCTTTTACGCGTTGAAAGGGGGCGATCTTAGTTGGTCGCGGGCGGAGGGGTCTGGTGTGTTTTGTTTCTCCGTCTCGGTGTTGTGATACGTCTTTTGTTTTCTGATGCGTCGAACAATGCCGCCTAGGCGAACAGTGATTCGTCACTGGTTGTTTAGTCATCTCTCTCTTTCTGTCTCTCTCTTTCTGTCTCCCTCTGTCTGTTTCTCTCTCTATCTCTCTTTCTCTCCCTCTCTCGCTCATTCTCTCCCCACCCCACCCCCCTCCCTCCCTCCCTCCCTCCCTCCCTCCCTCCCCTTGATCCTCCAGGTCCGGGAGGTCGTGAGGGAGAAGTTTGCCGAGGCCGGGTGGGACGTGCGCAGCAACACGGCTACGAGGGACGAGCCCCCCACCGTCGACGAGCTACAAGCCTTCTTGGAGGGGACCATCGAAGCTCTTGAGACGTTCGACCCTCCTGTTGGTGAGAGTGGAGAGATGGTGGTCATGTTTTGCCGCTGTGTTGGTGGTTTTTACGTGCGTAGAGGAGGGCTTTGTTGCGAAACGAGATTTTGTTTCTCTGCTCCTCGATCGAGAGATTGGAGAGAGAGAGAGAGAGAGAGAGAGAGAGAGAGAGAGANAGAGAGAGAGAGAGAGAGAGAGAGAGAGAGAGAGAGAGAGAGAGAGAGAGAGAGAGAAAGATTCTTTTTTTGTGTCGCTTAATTGTTTTTGCACCTGTTGCAGTTCCTGCTTTGGGGATGCCTTGCGTTGTCTGGTGTCAACTCACCCTGCTCCGTTTCAATATTGATTTTTGCCTCGTTCCCGCTGTATGTGGACCCCTCCCGTGCAAAAGGTGGGCGGAGGTTCGCACTTGTATCGCCGGCTCGCACGTCACGCTTACGGACTTCCTTTTGTATCTCGCTATGTTGTTCTTTTAAATCCTCTCGTTTACCGTCCCTTGGTCGCACGAGTACAGTGCCTTGGCCCTCTTGCTGTTGTTGTTTTACAAGCAGATACGTTGGCTTTATCTTCAGGTTCTACATTTCGACGGTACATACCTTGTTCCACTCTTCGTCTTCTTTTTTCTCTCTCCCGCGTGTTGTTGTTGTTCTTTGCCCCTCGCATGACGTCGTTTGTTTGTTTTTTAAGAACCGACCGAAGAAGAGTTGGAGGACCCCGCACTGGCATGCCAGCGTCTGTGGGATCTGGACACGAACCGCCTGACACCAGAGGTGAGGCATGCCGCCCGACAGCAAACTTAAGGCACCAGTCCAGCAGTGGGCGTCCCCGAAGGAAGCGGTCGGAAGTATGGCGGTCGCGCTATGTGAGGCGGGAAGAAAAGACGGGCATACATAGACGGAATATACTTTCAGTACGGCGGCGGTCCCATATAAGGCGGTCGTTACCAGCTGTCCCGCCACCGCCTTATTCGGGAACCCACCCACTGTATTCACATACTTAAAGACTACTGTAGAGGCATACAAAGAGAACTGGTAGGACACCCCCCGCCCCCGCAGTCCTGCTTTTTTTTCCGAGCATGATCTTGTCAACAGCGGCAGTGCCTTCCCATCTCATAAGACTTGGTGGAAAACATTTTCTGTCTGGTCGAGAATCAATTTTGAGGTATTCAGCTTGAGGTGATTGGTATGGCAGGCACCTCGGAAGAACGTTCGTTGAGGTTGGTTCACTTGCTTGTGTTATCGTGTGTGTGTATTCCCCGCGTTGTAGCGTATTCTCCGCGTTGTAGCGTGTATCGTAGACCCACCTGTGTGACCGAGGGCGTGTCTGGTCAATGGGCTAACAACTATGGCATGCAAAACATGACTGCGCCCCCTGGGCTGGACTTCATTCTCTGCTTGTTGTCATGAATACGCTGAACCTCTACAATATGCCATTTTGAGCACCTTGGACATCAGATTTTCGCCATCGCGCACAGCTGGGCGCTCGACTCCGGATGCCACACAATACGTCAAGATCCGGGTACACGCGTACTGTTTATATTGTGCCGCCTTTTCGCCGCTCCACCCTCCCCCTTCTGTTTTATCCTTGTGAACCGTACTCTGGGCCGGCGAAAACGCGGCATATCGCTCCGTCCCAGCGTCGTAGGAATGCAAAGTCTATGATCTAACAACTACGGCATCCATTTACATGAGAGCGTACACCCCCCCTCCCCCCCAACGATGCATTTACTTGTGAAAGTACACACACTTACCCAATGCGCTGTTTGGTGTTGGTGTATTGGTTGGCCTTGTGGCTGCAGGACGAGTATTCGATCAACCTGCAGAGCGGGAAGAAGCCTTACCAAGAGGGGGACCGTGCCAGCGACCCCCTCTTCAACTACGTCAAGGACTGCGTCTTCGAGAAGCCCACCTACTCGGCCTTCCTCAAGCTCTTGGTGAGGGAGGGAGAGGCGGCGTGAAACTTGTGGTGTTGTTGCAGTAGTGTGTGTACCGATGTGTGAGAGAATTGAGAGCGTGACAAAGTGTGTCTTGTCATCGAGTGCAGTGCGATACACCGAAGCCTGCATACCGAAAACGCCGCCACAGAAAACGTACGAAAAGCTTGAACACATATCAACAATACCGCGTGTCGTACGCAAAGCGGCGTCAACAATACAACCGAAAAAACATCTAGCAACAACAGCCACGCGGCGGTGACAGCTCGATCAAAAGAACGCTGTTGTAGGAGGACACTAGAGATCAAAAATAAACCTGCGCGAAGAAAGCATTCGCCCTAACCCTACCTCTTGAACCTATAATCCTAACCAACCCTAACCACCCCCTGCCAGGACAACTACACGGCGGCGGTCGGCACCGGGGAGGTGGTAACCGGCGAGGAACGGCAGGAAACCGTCGACTTCATCGAGGCGATCATGTCCACGCCCTGCATGCGCTACGCCCACGCCTACCTGGTCTCCAAGGGGCAGGCGCCGGAGTCTGAAACCGATTTCAAGGTATTTAAGATGGTTATTTTGGGGGGGGGGCTTGTTTGTAGTGAACCGTACCAGCGGTCTTGAAGGGGAGGGATGACTGTGAGAGACGGCAGTACTCACGAAAGCAGCAGAGGAGTTGCCGATTTTCTGTCGACGGGGTCTGAGACCGATTTCAAGGGGCCTGTTGGTGTTGCAAACCGTACCGGAGGTCTTGAAGGGGATGAATAGGGGAGAGAAGACTCACGAAAGCAGAAGAGGAGTTGCCCATTTTTGTTTCGCAACACCGACGAGTAGAGTTTTGATACCCAGCTCTAAACGAGTGCTTCCGTGTGGTGTGCTCGATTTTGATTGAGCGTACGGCCGTCAGGGGCATTTTTGATTAGCTCATGTGTACCATGCTTGTGATGTATCAAAAATCCTGTGCTGTGCTTTCTCCTCCCCGTGTTTTTGATTTTTTTTCGTAGAACCTGCTGCACCAGACGTGGTTCGCCATGTACAGCAGGAGCCGTGGTTCCGATGACAGCTCGGGGTTCGAGCACGTGTTCGTGGGAGAGAGCAAGCGTGGCGAGATTACGGTGAGACGATGGTGCGGGTGGGTGGTTGCTTGTTGTTGTTGTTGTTGTTGTTGTCGTTGCTGCTGCTGCTGCTGCTGCTGTTTTGGTGCTGGCTGTTGCCGGTGCCTTCCTTGTGGAGCTCTTGTCGTTGTCCAGACCTTCAGCTTCATCTTTTGGCTTCGTTTTTTCTGCGCCTCAGGGTCTTCACAACTGGATCCAGATGTACTCGGAGGAAAAGAGTGGCCGCCTGGACTACATGTGAGAAGTCACGTACATCTAGCCTGATGCAGACAGCGCCCTTTTCGTCGCGGCCGTCGATGCTTCTTTTGGTTGACATCCTTCTTCTTGGCGTGCCTCGCGTTTGGTTTTCTCCCCCTCCCCCCTTTTCCTGTATTGAACAGTTAACCATCGGTGATCCGTCCCTGTGGAAACAATGCTCCGTCCTCTCGAGGACGCGTGGTCAACAGTGTTCACAACCAAGGCATGCAAAACATAAAAGAGTATGCCTTGCCCCTGCCCCCGAGAAACGGGACTACATCCCTTTCCCGGTAAACGCGACTACGTCGACACCCCTCCCTCCCCCTGCCCCCACGCTGCCGCAAAATGAGTACCCCCCCCTTTTCTCTGTGTTTTGGTTTTACGCCGCCGACTAAAGGGGCTATATCTTCCCCCGCAAACGCGGCTACGAGGACACCCCGGCTGAGACGGAGCAGCTCGTCACCGTACAGTTTGAGGTGTGTGTGTGTGTGTGTTATTGTCATTGGCATAGCGTTGGAGGAGGACCACTATCGCGCGCCTTGAACGTGCTGTTTAATTCAACTGGCATGATGTGAAGACCGTTGGTTGCAAGGGATAGCTTGACGTGTCATGGCCGCACTTAATGGTTTATTCTTATGATGAAGTCTGGTTGGTATCGACCGCGCTAACCGGCTGACGAACGAAAAACTGTCAGTCTCAGTGCGGCTGAAAAACAGAAAATGCGTGTCAAGGCCATGATCTGGGACTCCGTTTGTGTGTTTGTTGTACCGCGTTGGAGAAGAGCCCCTTCACAAGCGCCTTGGACGCGCGCTATGATCTATCTGGTATGGTGCGCGGACCGTTGGTTACAAGGGACAGCTTGACAGGTCCTGGACACACATGACAAACTGCCCACGATGCATTGCCGCTTTGAATAGTGGAACGGTGAGCTGAAGGAGATCAGCTCTTCCTTCGTCGGCGTGTCGCCGGAGTTTGAGATCGCTCTCTACACGCTGCTCTTCTTGCTCGACCAGGTGTGTCTGTCTGTTCCAATGGAAGCCGCTTTACGTCATCCTCCGCGCGTGGTCGATGTACTGTTGCTGTTGTTGTTGTATATGTTGTTGTGTTCGCTGTTGTTGTTGATGTTACTACATTTGGTGCTCTTGTGGTTGTTGTTGTGCTTATTGTTGTCTGTTGTTGCTGATGATGATGGTGTTGTTGTATATGCTGTTGTTGTTGATGTTGATGATGACGGGTTAGTTGATGTTCTTGTTGTGGTCATCGTTGTCGTCATCTCGACGAAACAAGAGCTAGCTACTGGATGCCCCCGCCCCGGCCTCAAGCTGAAATCTGATATACAAGTAGCATGTCCCAAGAGCAACTTCACGGGTATGACGTGGTTACTGTCGGGTCCTTGTCGTTACATCCCCCTCCTTCCGAATTGTAGTTTTGATCCGCACGAATGTTGAGGTTAATCGACCTTTTCTTCCCGGTCGTTGGTGCCCCCTCGCACGGCAAGTTGCGTTCGGTGGGGGGGGGGGGGGG